AATAATTTGATTTTGTAGTGTCATCTTGATTCAAAAAACACTTAGTATTCCAAGTATTCTTTACGTATCGAACTACCTGTTGGCTATACTTCATTATGCAATTGTGTCATAAAGCCTTAAGATTTTATATCTTTATGTATGCAGCAATTAAGATTTTATATCTTTATGTATGCAGCAATGTTATGCAAAATGGATATATTTAGTTGTCCAACTTTAATTGTGTTTAAAGCTCATTTTTATAGAGGTTTCAGTTTTGGCAGCATATCTTATTAGATCTTCAGTTTTGGCAGCATATCTTAATTTATATAAAAAGTTGTTTCAATTTTTTTTGTAAGAAAAAAGTATGTAATATTATACACTTAATCTAACTTTTTTTATTTTTTTCAATATTTTTTATTTTTTTTGGACGTTTTTATTTTTATTTAAAAAAAAACTACTTGGCGGGTTAAAACGGTTAAGTGCCTGGGTTAGCCCCGTTCCGATTCAAACCGCTCCGAGCCTCAAAACCGGTTAACCATTCCGGTTCGATTTTGCGAACAGTTTTGACAACGGTTGGTCAACAGTTTGAAACCATTAGTATGAGAGGATGATAGCCTTACACCTCTTCAATTATACAGGTAGAACATCAAAGATAAAGGTTGTAGAGAGATTTAAGGAGAGATAATGGGATAGTTTATGAAAGGGGATGATAGGGATTTGACACCTCTTTTCAAGTTTGCATATTTTATTTAGGAGTATATAGATAGATGTTAAGAGTTTTTAGGGAAGAGAGAGATGAAATGAGATATTTAAGGAATGAGAAGTGAGGTAGTTTGTGAAATGAAAGGGAAAGAGATTTTAGGAGAAAAGGGAAGGAGAGTGATTTTACGGAAGGGGAGAAGGATCCATCGTTTAAAGGAAAGGTATTATGTGATATTTCATAACTACCCATTGCAAGTAGAGAGTGAGATGACCCGTGTCGTAAAAACAGGGCATGTTCTCTTCTCACGTAAAATATAGAAGATAAATAATAAAGAGTAATATAGGGGACGACAAACTATGAGGCCATTTATTTTGTTATAAGGGTCACAATTATTTTTGGTCGTTACTTATGAAATCCAATTGATTTATGTGCTGAGGACATTTATTTTAAATTTTATACCTAATCAATGACACATTTTTAACCACTTGATTTCACATCCAATCGTCAATAATAATTGTGACATCCATGCATCAAAAATAAATGATCTCATATACATTTTCTAAATATAGATATACATAGCAAAAGAATGTAATTTTTAGGCAAACAAACACCAGAGAAAACTTTAAAGCTAAATATCATATGGGAGATATAAAGGAGGAAAGAGAGGTACACGAGGTTATGGTAGTAACGGGTTGGTCCGGGTTAGGCGGGACCCGGATCTGAAATTTGATATGGGGTATGGACTCGCACCCGACCGGACTTGAATTCACCGAACCCATATTCGGACCCAAAACTATAGTATGGGACCCAGACCCGGACATGGACATGCTAGACCCAATCAGACCTGAATTTGGATTCAAATAGCGTTCAAGTCCAAGATTTGGACCCAGACCTGACCCGTCAGGTCCAATTTTTTGACCCATACCCGGACCCGGATCGGGTGTGCCCCTTGGGTCCCGAGTCGGGTTCGGGTCCATTAACAACCCAATAATGAGTGTTTCTACATAACATAGAGTT